CAAAGACTTAGTGAAAGGTCACCTACAGTGGTAGAAACGCGTAACTTTGTCTCAAAAGGTCTGCTACACGAACCCTAATGTAAATTTGCCGGGAGAGAGAGAGAAAAGTAACAGGAACGCCCAACGTGGGGCTCGAATCCACGACCCTGAGATTAAGAGTCTCATGCTCTACCGACTGAGCTAGCCGGGCTGATGAGAACATCTTTTAGGAACCAGAAACCGTTTACAGTAATACCTTCCCTACCCGTGACAATGTTCTGCTAAATCCTGATTTCGTCTTGTAACGCTGGACAGAATGTGGCTGGCCCAGGATCTATGTCCAGTGCACGTGTTAGCAGTTGCAAGGCAGCAAAATGCCTAATTCGTCCCTGGGTGGGCTTTAACCACCAACCTTTCAGTTAACAGCCAAACGCGCTAACCGATTGCGCCACAGAGACTTAGTGAAAGGTCACCTACAGTGGTAGAAACGCGGAACTTTGTCTCAAAAGGTCTGCTATATGAACCCTAATGTAAGTTTGCTGAGAGAGAGAGAGAAAAGTAACTGAAACGCCCAACGTGGGGTTTGAACCCACGACCCTGACATTAAGAGTCTCATGCTCTACCGACTGAGCTAGCCGGGCTGATGAGAACATCTTTTAAGAGCTAAACACTGTTTACAGTAATCCTTTCCCTACCCGTGACAATGTTCTGCTAAATCCTGATTTCGTCTTGTAACGCTGGACAGAATGTGGCCCAGGATCTATGTCCAGTGCACGTGTTAGCAGTTACAAGGCAGCAAAATGCTTGATCCGTCCCTGAGTAGGCTTGAACCACCAACCTTTCAGTTAACATCCTAACGCGCTAACCGAATGCGCCACAAAGACTTAGTGAAAGGTCACCTACAGTGGTAGAAACGCGTAACTTTGTCTCAAAGTCTGCTACACGAACCCTAATGTAAGTTTGCCGGGAGAGAGAGAGAAAAGTAACAAGAACGCCCAACGTGGGGCTCGAATCCACGACCCTGAGATTAAGAGTCTCATGCTTTATCGACTGAGCTAGCGGGGCTGATGAAAAGCTCTTTTAGGAGCTAGAAACCGTTTACAGTAATACCTTCCCTACCCGTGACAATCTTCTGCTAAATCGTGATTTCATCTTGTAACGCTGGACAGAATGTGGCCCAGGATATATGCCCAGTGCACGGTTTAGCAGTTGCAAGGCAGCAAAATGCTTAATTCGTCCCTGGGTGGGCTTTAACCACCAACCTTTCAGTTAACAGCCAAACGCGCTAACCGATTGCACCACAGAGACTTAGTGAAAGGTCACCTACAGTGGTAGAAAGTCAGAACTTTGTCTCAAAAGGTCTGCTATATGAACCCTAATGTAAGTTTGCTGAGGGATTGAGAGAAAAGTAACAGGAACGCCCAACGTGGGGCTCGAACCCACGACCCTGAGATTAAGAGTCTCATGCTCTACCGACTGAGCTAGCCAGGCTGATGAGAAGCTCTTTTAGGAACCAGAAACCGTTTACAGTAATACCTTCCTACCCGTGACAATCTTCTGCTAAATCCTGATTTCATCTTGTAACGCTGGACAGAATGTGGCCCAGGATCTATGTCCAGTGCACGTGTTAGCAGTTGCAAGGCAGCAAAAGGCCTAATTCGTCCCTGGGTGGGCTTGAACCACCAACCTTTCAGTTAACAGCCGAATGCGCTAACCGTTTACGCCACAGAGACTTAGTGAAAGGTCACCTACAGTGGTAGAAAGTCAGAACTTTGTCTCAAAAGGTCTGCTATATGAACCCTAATGTAAGTTTGCTGAGAGAGAGAGAGAAAAGTAACAGAAACGCCCAACGTGGGGTTTGAACCCACGACCCTGACATTAAGAGTCTCATGCTCTACCGACTGAGCTAGCCGGGCTGATGAGGAGTCACCACTAGAACTAGACACTGTTAACGGTAATACCTTCCCTACCCGTGACAATATACTGCTAAATCCTGATTTCATCTTGTAACGCTGGACAGAATGTGGCCCAGGATCTATGTCCAGTGCACATGTTAGCAGTTGCAAGGCAGCAAAATGCCTAACTCGTCCCTGGGTGGGCTTGAACCACCAACCTTTCAGTTAACAGCCGAACGCGTTAACCGATTGCGCCACAGAGATTTAGTGAAAGGTCACCTACAGTGGTAGAAACGCGGTACTTTGTCTCAAAGTCTGCTACATGAACCCTAATGTAAGTTTGCCGGGAGAGAGAGAGAAAAGTAAGAGGAACGCCCAACGTGGGGCTCGAACCCACGACCCTGAGATTAAGAGTCTCATGCTCTACCGACTGAGCTAGCCGGGCTGATGAGAACATCTTTTAGGAACTAGAAATTGTTTACAGTAATACCTTCCCTACCCGTGACAATCTTCTGCTAAATCCTGATTTCATCTTGTAACGCTGGACAGAATGTGGCCCAGGATATATGCCCAGTGCACGGTTTAGCAGTTGCAAGGCAGCAAAATGCCTAATTCGCCCCTGGGTGGGCTTTAACCACCAACCTTTCAGTTAACAGCCAAAAGCGCTAACCGATTGCACCACAGAGACTTAGTGAAAGGTCACCTACAGTGGTAGAAAGTCAGAACTTTGTCTCAAAAGGTCTGCTACATGAACCCTAATGTAAGTTTGCTGGGAGAGAGAGAGAAAAATATAACAGGAACGCCCAACGTGGGGCTCGAACCCACGACCCTGACATTAAGAGTCTCATGCTTTACCGACTGAGGTAGCCGGGCTGATGAGATCAACTTTTAAGAGCTAAACACTGTTTACAGTAATACCTTCCCTACCCGTGACAATGTTCTGCTAAATCCTGATTTCGTCTTGTAACGCTGGACAGAATGTGGCCCAGGATCTATGTCCAGTGCACGTGTTAGCAGTTGCAAGGCAGCAAAATGCTTAATTCGTCCCTGGGTGGGCTTGAACCACCAACCTTTCAGTTAACAGCCGAACGCGCTAACCGATTGCGCCACAGAGACTTAGTGAAAGGTCACCTACAGTGGTAGAAACGCGGAACTTTGTCTCAAAGTCTGCTACATGAACCCTAATGTAAGTTTGCTGGGAGAGAGAGAGAAAAGTAACAGGAACGCCCAACGTGGGGCTCGAATCCATTACCCTGACATTAAGGGTCTCATATTCTATCGACTGAGCTAGCGGGGCTGATGAGATGAACTTTTAAGAGCTAAACACTCTTTACAGTAATACCTTCCCTACCCGTGACAATATTCTGCTAAATCCTGATTTCATCTTGTAACGCTGGACAGAATGTGGCCCAGGATCTATGTCCAGTGCACGTGTTAGCAGTTACAAGGCAGCAAAATGCTTGATCCGTCCCTGGGTAGGCTTGAACCACCAACCTTTCAGTTAACATCCTAACGCGCTAACCGAATGCGCCACAGAGACTTAGTGAAAGGTCACCTACAGTGGTAGAAACGCGTAACTTTGTCTCAAAGTCTGCTACACGAACCCTAATGTAAGTTTGCCGGGAGAGAGAGAGAAAAATAACAGGAACGCCCAACGTGGGGCTCGAACCCACGACCCTGACATTAAGAGTCTCATGCTCTACCGACTGAGGTAGCCGGGCTGATGAGAAGCTCTTTTAGGAACTAGAAACCGTTTACAGTAATACCTTCCTACCTGTGACAATCTTCTGCTAAATCCTGATTTCATCTTGTAACGCTGGACAGAATGTGGCCCAGGATATATGCCCAGTGCACGGTTTAGCAGTTGCAAGGCAGCAAAATGCCTAATTCGCCCCTGGGTAGGCTTTAACCACCAACCTTTTAGTTAACAGCCAAAAGCGCTAACCGATTGCACCACAGAGAGTTAGTGAAAGGTCACCTACAGTGGTAGAAAGTCAGAACTTTGTCTCAAAAGGTCTGCTATATGAACCCTAATGTAAGTTTGCTGAGAGAGAGAGAGAAAAGTAACAGGAACGCCCAACGTGGGGCTCGAACCCAAGACCCTGAGATTAAGAGTCTCATGCTCTACCGACTGAGCTAGCCGGGCTGATGAGAACATCTTTTAGGAACTAGAAATTGTTTACAGTAATACCTTCCCTACCCGTGACAATCTTCTGCTAAATCCTGATTTCATCTTGTAACGCTGGACAGAATGTGGCCCAGGATCTATGTCCAGTGCACGTGTTAGCAGTTGCAAGGCAGCAAAATGCCTAATTCGTCCCTGGGTGGGCTTCAACCACCAACCTTTCAGTTAACAGCCGAACGCGCTAACCGATTGCGCCACAGAGACTTAGTGAAAGGTCACCTACAGTGGTAGAAACGCGGAACTTTGTCTCAAAGTCTGCTACATGAACCCTAATGTAAGTTTGCTGGGAGAGAGAGAGAAAAGTAAGAGGAACGCCCAACGTGGGGCTCGAACCCACGACCCTGACATTAAGAGTCTCATGCTCTACCGACTGAGGTAGCCGGGCTGATGAGATGAACTTTTAAGAGCTAAACACTGTTTACAGTAATACCTTCCCTACCCGTGACAATGTTCTGCTAAATCCTGATTTCATCTTGTAACGCTGGACAGAATGTGGCCCAGGATATATGCCCAGTGCACGGTTTAGCAGTTGCAAGGCAGCAAAATGCCTAATTCGCCCCTGGGTAGGCTTTAACCACCAACCTTTTAGTTAACAGCCAAAAGCGCTAACCGATTGCACCACAGAGACTTAGTGAAAGGTCACCTACAGTGGTAGAAAGTCAGAACTTTGTCTCAAAAGGTCTGCTATATGAACCCTAATGTAAGTTTGCTGAGAGAGAGAGAGAAAAGTAACAGGAACGCCCAACGTGGGGCTCTAACCCACGACGCTGAGATTAAGAGTCTCATG